TATATGTTTTGTATATTTTTTTTTTATACATATATATATATATATATATATATATATATATATATATATAGTGATATATATATAGTGAATCATAAAATAAATCATTTCTTCTATTTTATAATGTAGATGTCAAGCATATAACAACTATCTTATTATAGTGCATTCTGAATAAAAGGAGGATAATTATATTTGACATTTGAGTTTATGCTGAGCGTCTCTGAATCCTGTGGCCTGGCCACTAACTCCTTCCTGTGTTATTGTGATTTCATATATCTTATCTATTCCCTTTGTCTCACAACTTAGTCAAACTTCAAATCTGGAGATGAAATATATTAATAACACCAATTCATTTTGATTTTGTTCATTTCTTTGCATTGATTGATGAGATTTTCATGGTAATGGCACAAATCAGAGGCATAAAAACGTGCTTTTGCATTTTAGTTGAAATTGCTATACTTTATCACCCATATAATATGCTAAGACTAATGCTATAGAAGACAAGGGGAGCATAACCAAGACACTCTAGGCATCTGGAAGGATGCATATCTAGATGAGCCAAATATCCAATTGTCAAACAACACACATATATCCAAGTGAACACAGCTACAATCAGAAAACCTCTTCAAATAAATTTAACCAAACTGCACACCTGAAGAAGGTCCATATTTTAAAGGCTTTTAATATATTTCTTTATGCTGTTTCTAACTTTTTTTTACTTATGCACCATTTTATGGTAATATTAACATATCTCAGATGCAATGCTAACTTGATATATCTTTAGAAAGAGTGCTAGAATGAGTTCCTTTGGATAATATGAAGCTATGGTTAAGAAAATACATTTTAAACAAATGTGAAGAAGACCATGCAAGCACAGCACCACATTGTACATGTGAATTAATGTAGAATAGATAGAAATGCAGCATCAGACTGTTCAAAGGATCAACAAGTAGAGTATATTACTTTGTTACCTGACTGGATGCCTCCGGAGCAAACTTGAATCATTTCAGTTCTCACAGAATACATGGGTCCAAGTACCATTCTTGGCCATCATAATGAAAAATAAATTCCATCATTTTCTTAATGAGGAATGGTATTCTAGCCTTTATTTGTCATAGAGAAAATAAAATGGATTGCTTTTTTCTATTTGAGCTATCTACTCAGATAAACATTTAGAGAAACTTTTTTCTGTTGTTGTTGGTTTTGTTAATGTGGTCACACATTTGGAGGAACAAAAAGATCCAGCGAATTCCCCAGAGTCCATCTTTAGGGTTTGGACATGAAGGTAGGGTTTAAATAGAAAGCAGGAATTCTGATGATCTACAAGAGCATGTGAACTCTCAACTGATGAGTTGCCTCTAATAGAATATTGAAGATAATCTTAATAGTACAAAACTGAAAACACAAATGACCAAAACTTATAGTCTATAGTAAAAGCTGTTCTCAGAATGGAGTTCATAGAAATAGGTGTGTATAATAAAAAGAAATAAAAAGCCTTGGTTACCTTTCTTGTTGCAGTGGTAAAATATTCTGACAAAAGTAATGAGGGATAAAGGGCTGTTTTTCTTTCATAGTTCAAAAAGTCTCTGCAGTTGGAGCTTCAGGCAGCTGGTCACACCTGCAGTCAAGAAACAGAGAGTGAGAATTTATTGCTCAGGTCATTTTCTCCTTTATATAGAGTTCAGGATGCCAGACCAGGGAGTGTTGCCACCCACAGTGAGAGGGTTTTTCTATTTTACTTTGCCCAATTAATATAATCTCTCACAGGAATGCCCAGCAGTTTTTCTCCTGGATAATTCCAGTTTGCATAAATTTGAAAATTGAGATTAACCATCATACCAGGTTTAGTACATGCCAAAAACTTGAGAAGGTGATGTAGAAGATTTTGAGCAACAGGCAAGCGAGCCTGTGGTTGGATAAGAAAGGAGGAGGGAAGTAAGAAGAAGAAAAAAGGAAGAGGTATAAAAAGATTGATTCCATATGAAGAACTAAAATTTAACTGTCAAGGAATCAAAAATATAATACCATATGTGGTTAATGCTATGGACTTCACACACCCCCTCAGATGGGATGGGTATGGTGGTGAAATTCCAGCACTTTAGAAACTGAGGCAAGAGGATAGCAAGTTCATGGACAGCTTAGGCTACATACTCAATCAAGTCCAGCATGAGCTATACAATAAAATCTGTTTCAAAAAATTCTATGACCAAAAAAGTGAATTCATCAAAGCTTGAAAAGTAAAAAAAAAATCAACACAAAGAAATCAGTTGCATTTATTTGTACTAGGAGCATCTATCTGAAGAAGACACCAAGAAACCAATCTTATTATCACAATATACAAAATGTTTATAAATAAATTTAACCAAAGAAGTAAAGTATTTGTGCACTGAAATTGTAAAATACTAGTGAAAGAAACTTAAAATTGTACAAAAGTAATATGCACAATATTTATACAGTGATGGACTAGAATAAATATTGTTTAAAATGGCATTAGTACCCAAAGTGATAAAAAAGATCCATTGTAAATCGTGTCTTGATATCAAATGCATTTTTTCAAAGAAATAGAAAAAATAAAATACATATAATAGCTGTGGATATGCCTCAGTTATAGAGAACTTACTTAGCATGGTAAAAGCCTTGAGTTCAATCCATGGTATCATAATTTGTTTCTCTAAAATCCAAGTGAAAGCACAAAATATCATGAATAGCCAAAGCCATCTTGAAGAATAAAACCAAAGTAAGAGGGACAATAAATCTTAACTTCAAATTATTTTATACAGCTATAGTAATAAAACCAGCAGCATGATGACATAAAGCACACACAGATCAATAAAACAAAGTCAAGAGATAGAGACAAAGGCAAGCACACACAGGCATCTAAATTTGACATGGGAATCAAGAATGCAGATGAATAAAAAATTTATCTCCACAATAAATGATGTTAGAAAAACTATATATAAAAGTGTGAAATTGGGTACCTATGTCACTCCCTAAATAAAAATCCTTTCAAAAATGTGTTAAATATCTAAACATTAGTCCTTAGATCATAAAATTCTTAGACAAAATCACAGAGGAAAGTTCTATAGATTGATCTTGGTAATCATTTTTCTTTAAATATCACAACAAAATTTCAGTGAATTAGAGAACAATATTAGCAACTGGGCTATTGTGATACTTTCACAAAGTATGTAGCTGCCTTCTGCCTTTTTCCTAAAAACTTACCTGAGCTAAATTTAAAAGCAATGGATTAATTTATTTGCTGGAAGAGATTCCAAAACAGCATAATATTGACTTAGTCATGTAATTATTTGCAATCACCTTTACACTGAATTAGATTAAGGGAGATGTGCCTTGGGAAAACACCTCCCAGATAAGGTTCCCATCTGTGAAAAGAAAAGCTCTAAGGACTATTATTTTCTTAAAAGCAACAATCAATGAAATCTGCTACAAATGTTATGAAAGCAGATCATGGTTCACCCAAGTAGACAGGTGAACCTGACAGTGTGTGGTGCATGTGGTTTTGACTTTAGAGTCACAAAAGACATACAAGCAAAGAGGTTGTGGAGCATTCCTTTATGATCAAGGAGAGCCACTGAGGCTGGAAGCAGAAGCAGACACCCACAGCTAAACACTGAGCTGAACTCTGGAATCCAGTTGCAGAGAGGGAGGAGTGATGAGCAAAAGTGTCAAGACCAGGCTGGAGAAACCCACAGATGCAGCTGACCTGAACAAGGGGTTGCTCATGGACCCCAGACTGACAGCTACGAAACCAGCATAGGACTGTTCCAGACTCCCTGAAGTAGGAAGTCAGTTTGGAGGTCTGGACACTCTATGGGGCTACTGGTAATGGATCAGTATTTACCCCTAGTACACAAATGAACTTTGGGAGCCCTCTCCACATAGAAGGATACTCTCTCAGCCTAGACACACCGGGGAGGGTCTAGACCCTGCTCCAAATGACAGACATTGAAGATCCCCCACGGAAGGCCTCACCCTCCCTAGGGAGCAGAAAGAGAATGGGATAGGGGATCTTTGGGGAGGTGAGTAGCAGAGAGAGAGGGAACTGAGATTGACATGTAAAACAAGCTTGTTTCTAATTTAAATAAAAAAGAAAAAAAGTCTATCAATCAAGGAGAAGATGAGCAAGATGTTCAGATTATTCCACTATGCAAAAAAATGAGATACAGAACCAACTTATTTTACATCATGAAAAAAAAAAAAACTTGAAAACATACACGTACAGAATGAAAGAAATTAAGCAGAAAAGACTACAATTATGTGATTGCATTTTTAGAATCCGCAGAGTATAGGCTTGTGTACAAAGATTAAAAGTTGATTAGTGGTTAAGATTAGAGGAGACACGAGGAAACAGGGAGTGACTGTCACTGGATACAGGATTTTTTTTTTTTGAGGATGGTGAAAATGTCCAAACTTAGATTTAGTTGATGATTGCACATGTAAAAGAATATATAACAAATGTTGATAAATGTACTTTAAAAGGATAAAATTTTACGTATTCTAATAATATTTTAACAAAGTTATTACACTTAAATAATGATGTCTTTTCATATGCACATGTTTATTTGGAGCTAGAGCAAATCCTTCATATAATCAAACATGTATTCTATTATTATTATTTAAACATTTTTATTATATTATGTGCATGTCTGTTTTGCTTGTTTATGTCTGTGCACTACAGGCATGGCTGGTGACCACAGAGGCCAGAAGATGTCACTGGGTCGCCCAGAACCGGAATTAGAGGCAGTTGTGAGATGCCATGTGAGTCCTGGGAACTAAACCCATGTTCTGTGGAAGGGCAGCTAGTCCTCTTAACTACTGAGCCATCTCACTAGCTCTTTTGCGTGTATTTTAGTCACTGAAGTTAACAAAAATGAGAGTTCTATCTCTAAAAATATAGGAAATTATCTCTGGCCTTTTATTTCAAAACATTATCTTTGAATTAACTGTAATTGCACATGGCTTTGGAACAGGTTCTTCCCACAATTTAGGGCACAAGGGGTAGAGAGATTGAAATTAGCAGTTCTGAAAAACATGCCATGCTCCTGAGCTGAGTCACTGAGGAAATGGACAATATAAGGAAGAGGATCTGGTGTGGTGGCAAAATAGTTTTGCATTGGGGTTTTGCCTATACCTAAAGGCATGTCCATGTTGTGATCTTTGTCCTGTTATTTTTTTCTGCATCTCAATATAGTCCAAGCATGCCAGGAACTCACTCTATTCCAGAAAGATTCCTTCCCATGTCTCTCAAGTGGTGGGCTACAACCATGAACCAACATAGGTGTTGGCCTGATCCTTCTGTTCTTTTAACTGGGAGGGAAATTAAAGTAACTCAGAGTGGACAATCAACATTTTTAATAGAGGATAATTTGCAAACAGACTGAGGAGTAGGAGGACCAGATTTTTAACCTTCTTGTTGTCATGTATTTCCTTCCTGTGCATTAATTTTAACTCCAAGATATTTTCTAATCAGAAAACTAACTTAAATTAATATCTAAAAATATGTAGACCACATCCATTGAAAGTGATCCACATAAAAATATATAAACATACATGAAGAGAGAAGAATATTCCAATTTGTTGTTACATTCTAAAGAAAACTGTTCTCAGAAGCATGTGTTGATAGGATAAATATTTGTGTGCATATGTTAATCTAGAACAGCTCTGACCAACAGTAATAGTTTCTTCTTGATTTTAGATTATTTTCAAGATTATTCTTAATCTTTCAAAGAAGTTGACCTGAAGTTGAATGATTTATTTTGTGGACCCCTCTCTTCCATAAGTATGTATATGTGCATGCATAACACACATGAAAAATTAACTGCTGACA